TCTGGATGAATGATGAAATCTGTTCCGCCATCAAGGACTCACATACTTTCGCTAAAGCTGGTAATATGCTGATCGGCCTATAATCACTAGGATTAATGGGCGTAGTCTTCTTTGCAACTGGTAGTATGATGGCTTTTTTCCAATGCGCAGGAAAACATTATGTCGTGAAGCAATGATTAATGATGTGGGTAACGACGCGCAATATGAATGGAAGAACTAATTTCACAAATTTCAAGGAAATTCCATCATCACCAATAGCTTCAGATTTAATACCCCATATGGCTCTAACAACATCACCTTTACTTACTTCCACAAACTGAAACTTCTCTTCCAAGGTGGTATCAACCCAGAGAGCTTTCGAAGTGTGAGGTGCACCTATGTTAATACTCGCAACTGTAAATAACTCATTTAGTATAAAAGGATCTAAATCACATTCAGACTTCAAATTTCCATGCACTTTCAAGTTTTTTAAGTTTCGCCATAAATATTTAGAAGGAAGTGATGGGTCCAATTTAGCGCCACGGTATTTCCTTTTTGCTTGCTTGGTAAGTGAAGAAGCTTTATTTCGAGCATCTTTATACTGACACCAGGTGAAGTCAGTCATTTGCCTTCTCCATTTTGCATATAGCCTGTTGCGAGTTCTTATTGCCGCATGTACTCTTTGGGTGAACCAAGGGCAAGATGGATTGGTTGCTTGAGCCATACGAAGAGGAATATGATTTTCAAAAATATTTGTCAAGTTGTTATTAGAAAAGTTTTTCGTCCACTGAATCACAATACTAACAGTCATTCCAATTCACACTTCAGAGGCTTTGACATAGCTCATTCATATTTACAGACTTATAGTCACGATACATAAATGTGTTTCTAACAGAGGGACGATTAAACATAATATTTATTGAACAAAAAATCAGCTCGTGGTCAGATATACAGAATAATTGGACATGGTTGAGACTAGATGTAATAAAATAATCCAAGAGGCTGGGGTTACAATTAGCAAATTTCGTCGGTACAGATTTATTAACTATGGAAAGACCCGTGGCGGTAACATGATCAAGTAGTTGATCAGAATAGTTGTCGCTTTGGAGTAGGTTCACATTGAAATCACCACAAATCACATAAATTTCATAGTCAATTAGATACACAGACAGTTCAACAAAAAATGGGTCTAATAAACTACACTTCCGGGGATTATACACACACGCCACTAAAATGCTTGTTACTCCATCAGAGACTTCATCTATAATGAACTCAGTACACGAGTTGAAAGATTCAGCGAATAGACGTACTTTTATAGATGCTTTACTATATATCATGATAAAAACATAACAAGGTAAAACCATTGAGAGGCAGTCTGACGTTTGCCAACAATATAATTTTAAAATCAAAACTCAAACACACACACACATTCTCATTTTCAATCTCAAACAACAACAATTGTGAACAATTTAATTTTTTTATTTTCAATTTTATATGATTTTAAAATGTTGGCAAACGTCAGAAAAAATCATGGCCGACGAAATGAGAGAATGAATTTACCTTGTAATGTTTTTATCATGCTATATATTGCAACACCACCCCCCTTTCAGAGTTTCGATCATGACGAAGAAGATTATAGCCTGGAATGCTGTAGAATAAATCAAGGACAGAGGGGCAGAACCAGGTTTGCGTAACACAAATTACATCAACCAAGGATCCCTCAAAACGTGCCTAACGTAGTCCAGTTTATCACCACTAAGGCTTCGCGCATTGAAAGGAACCACGTTAAGGCCTGAAGTCTGCCTACACAGTATATCTACTAACAGCTTGTGGTTTTTACCAACACCGAAGACATTTTTGTTAACTGGGTTTACAATTATTAGGCTGAGTAAGAAAGGGGACAACTACAAGTACATGTATACATTTTAGATAGAAGCCAGTGTGGATTTTATATTTCGCAATAGAATGAAGAGAGTAAACATTTAGAGAGAGACAGTGAGAAATACAAAGCAGAGTACTTATTAACCTAGTATATATAAAAATAAACGTATATGTAAGGTGTAAATAAGTTTGACATGCACACGGTAGTCATGCACCTTTTGCCGCAACGATTTAAATTTCATCTCTGTTGGACACTTTCATTGATTCGCCTTGTTTTTGAAGTCGCACATAAATATTACCACGAAAAGAGAAAGCAGAAAATATACGCTTCTGCATCTTCAGCTGCAATGCGAACTGAAGTAGCTCGCGATTATTTTTCGTCAGGCTTTCGTGAATGTATATGCGCTCATCTGTATGACGACCGATGGCACGCAGTATTCGCCAGGCCCATAAATAGTGGTGGACGATCGCCCGCAGAGACCAGCTTGATGACGATAGGTGAGCTCTGCTTGTTGTTGTTGCTCTACTTGTTGTTATTATGCACACGGAATACAGCACGAATGGGGGCGCATTTGTTTGAACAGCTTTGCAAATATCATTGAATACATCGCTCAGCTTTTCGTCATGAGTTTGCGATATACCATTAATTATTAAGTCATTAGCAACGGAGATATTATCATATTCTCCAACTCTTGAACTTAATAGATACAACTCTTTCCTGAGCTCCGCTACCTGAATACACTCACGCTCTGTTTTCGCTACGCGATCTTCCTTCTTTGTTACTTTCATCTTGACAGTTTGCACATCAGCAGCCATCTCACCAAACCTCTGCATCATTCTATCTTCAAACTCCTTCATACGTGTTGTCAGCTGACTGACCACACCATCTATCTTTGATTCAGTTCGTAAAATCCATGAAGAAGGTGAACTGTCACTGGTTTTCGCATTATTCAGTAGTGCTGGTGTCGTTGGGGGCGATTGGTGGACAATGCGTATGTTCCTGGTCCGCTTGTTCATGTTCGCAGATCAGTAACTCTCTAAAGGCTTCAAAACTCACCAATAGATGGCGCTCACAGCTATTGTATGAATAACACCGATAGATGTCGCTCCAGCTAAAGTTTGAATAATTCCTGACCCGAGAGTAGCTGATAAGGAGCACCTGATGAAAGCGGTGTGGAAGTAAACACAGTAACTGGAACAGCAACAATAATAACCTTTTTTGTTTCTGCTGTTTATGCTTGCTTGCCTTTGTTTTGCTTTTCGTTGTTTAAAACAAATTATTATTGGCAAATATTTTGCTTGTTCACTTTCTGCGATCGTTTCCTCTATTCAACCAGAATAATTTATTAGTCTATAAACTTTTCAGCACTTTTTAGAAATATTAAATGAAATAATCTCAGGAGCGAAATTACAGGCGACCGCACAGTACGAAGTGTAAAGTTCCTTTTCAAGCATAAAATCCATTGAGAATCATAGGGATGATTTCTATTTATGCCAAACGTTTTTAATATGAAAGACGAAAACCGTAAACAAGCAATTTCTGAACAAAGAACTGTTTATCCACAAAGATGTTTGAATGGAAGCATTACACATTTAAAAAAATAGCAATCCACAAGGTTTTATTGGCAGTAGGTCTTTTTAAAGCACATTAAAGAAAAAAATATTCAAGTTTCGAAGTTAGCACAAAATAAAATTTTTTTTTTTGTTGTTTACAAACAAATACTTGCCAAGTTTATAAGTCAAAATTGTTAAATACATATCGCCTTCATTCATTTCTGCATAGAGGTGGTGCTTCTTTTATAGGAAAAATCATACGGTTTATGAACAGATTCATACCATGTAAATGCAACATTATTTACGTTGGCGGCACCTTTAAACCATAAAAACTATTAACCTTTCTTAAAAACTATTGTGACTACCAATAATAAAAAACTTATGATTTAAGTTTTTAAAACAACTCCTTTTTGAGTAGTCGACCTTCGACCGCGTTTCAAACTACCAACTCTAGCCGTACCAATATCTCAGCTACGCTATTACCCACAGTGTTAAGTCTTAGTTAGTCTAGACTTAACTTTATTTAACTTACCGTAAGAAATCATCAATGATTACTCAACACGCCAACTTAAAGCTCCACCCAGAATTGCAGCGGACGACCGTAAAGCGGTCGACGGTTAACCGCTGTCAAAATTAAAACTCACAAAGATATATGGAATGGCTCATAATTGCGGCGGCAGCGTTTTAACCGCCGACGTTTTTCGGTTGACTTAAAATTATTTCTATTTTTACCACTCAGCGGGGACGGCACAATATTGATTGAGATTTGATTGGTGCAATGTATATTCTTTTCACACGTTTTCCAATGTTTTCATCCATTTTTGTTTACAGAAAATCTACATACAGTCACGAACCGAAAAAATATTTTATTTTAATAATTTTTAAATCAAAATGACAACTGATGGAAGCCGTCGTGTGCCGCAATTGTATTTACTCTGACGGATTCCACTGCTGCAACTGTACAGCTGTTCACTTTCCGCCGACCGCTTTACCGTCGCCCGCTGTAATTCTGGGTAGAGCTTAAGCCAGAGGCAGAAATATTTTGTTTTTGTGTTTTCTTTTTCAGCTGTTTGATAGTTTGTTTAAAATGCCACATCAAAAAAATTCATGCACACAGAAAACTACAACTTTTACATGAAGTCGGGCAACTTTTACATGAAGTCGGACAAAGGAAACAAAGTCGTAATCATAGGAAAACAGCAGTATGAGGAAAGAATGAAAACATCAATAGAAGAAGACACCTTAATAGTTTCCCGAAAGTCGCCGCTTAATTCTATGCGTAAAGATGCTAAAACCGCCACCGATACTATTTGCCAAGCGTTTGAAGTTAATAAATATCGTTTGTTAGTATCGAACCCCTCCGTTCCTCTGATGTATGGACTTCCCAAAGTCCATAAACGGGGAAACAAAATGCGGAAAATTGTTTCCAACATAAATTCACCACTTTCCAATATTTCCCGTTGGTTAGTGAACGATTTAAAAAAATATGGTTCATTTGATGGCTTTTCTGTGAAAAACACATTTGATTTTGTGGATAAAATTCGCGACATTGAAATTAAGAATGACGAAATTATGACTTCCTTCGACGTTGAGGCGCTTTTCCCATCGATTCCAATCGACATCGCTATTAAGGCGATCAAAAAGCACCTCTTAAAATTTAATTTGCCTGAGGACCAATTAAATGCATACATCGTAGCGATCAATAGCTGTATGAAACACAATTGCTTCCAATTCCGAGACGTTTATTACAAGAACAACTCCGGCTGTAGCATGGGTAACAGTCTGTCGCCATACGTAGCAGAAGCGTTCATGTGCAATTTTGAATCGGAACTAAAAAGTGAAGGTGTTTTGCCACGAATTTGGCATCGATATGTCGACGATACTTTTGCTATTATAAAAATATCCGACATAGATAAAATACTGGAAACATTAAACAATCGTTATCCGAGTATTAAATTTACCTTTGAAAAAGAAGACGAAACAACACACTCCCTTCCTTTTCTTGATGTACTGATTAAGCGACAAGGAAGGAGAATTGAATTCGGTGTTTATCGGAAACCAACATCAACAGACCGATACATAACAAGCGATTCCTTTTGCACATATCAACAAAAAATTGCTTCGTTTAATTCTATGGTGTTTAGACTTTGCTCTTTGCCACTGTCTGCAGAAAGCTACATGAAAGAATATATGCAAATAAAACACATAGCGGACATAAATGGCTTCAAAACGTCACTCATCGATCAGCTGATAACCAAGCACTCGAATCGAATAAGACGCAACAAAGAAAGCACACTCTTCTCGCAAAACAGCATCGCACAATCGTCTCAATTACATCGCGTTTCCTTACCTTTCGCTCCTGCCATCACCAACACATTAAAACATACCTTAGAAAAATCAAACTTGCAAATCGTACACCCGAACAACAATAAACTGAGATTCGCGCTTGGTTCAACGAAAGACAAATTGCCGATAGAAGATCAAAGTGGAGTATACGAAGTAACTTGTTCGCATTGCGAATGCAAATACATTGGACAAACAAGGAGGGCGCTGCGTGCCCGAATCGAGGAACACTTACGTGCCGTACGGCTGAAAAAGATGGATAATGCTATCGCAGCGCATGCATTTGATTTAAATAATTCTCGCCCACATAACACAATATCTATGGCAGAAAACGTTCGATTACTTAAACACGTAAAAAACCCAGCAAAATTAGATGCCTATGAATCCCTTTTCATCGCTACTAATGATAATTTAATGAATTTAGAACCCGGAGCAATTGAATCTCTTTTATTTAATTGTATAAAAAAGTAAAATATTTGTTTACATGTTTGTTCAGAACCTCCACTTGTCGCTTTGTTTATTTTTGTAATGCCATTTGCGCTTTCACACTTATGTTTGTATGTATGTATAGTTGTAAGCGTCTAATAAGTTTCCATTACACTGTCTACTTTTGTCTTTTTTGATTAGTGTTCACTTGACGCTGGCTGATGATGGTTGCTCAGTTGCCAACCGAAATGCATCGGTAGAAAATAAACAAAAAAAAAAAAATTTGATTTACAAAATTAAATTGAGTTTTTATTTACGATATTTGCGGTCAAAAAAGGTTAAAAAATAAAATTTATAAAAAATTTGAATAATAAGACCACAAGCAGACTCTAAATTTAGTGATTAAATTACTAGAACTGTTTCAAACAATGTCTACCAAACGTGAAAAGAGTCAATTCACTCGTCTTTTGACAAAAATCAAAAAAACGAAAGCGGACATTCTTTTTCTGAAGGATTGTAAGCAACATAAAGTGATTCCCAGTTTCATCAAAGTAAAATGCAGTGTTCACAATTCTAGAACCGAAAGGGTTATTAGACATGCAGAAAGTCAATGGTTAAAACTCGAAATTCAGCACCATTATAGTTCATTGGACAAAATGGAATTACAGCTCTACAACCTACATCTAAATATGACTAAAGGCATCGACGACATCCAATTTCATGAATTTAACCATTTTCATATTACATCGATTTCGAGATGTGACGCCGTTTTCAACAAAAAGCGAAAGACGCAGAACCAAAAACTAGAAAAATTGTTATCTTCTCGATCAATAACCACACACACACCATCAGTGAAGCCGGTTCCAGGCTTAGTTGTGAACATGTCTAATGAAAGTTTTGATGATGATGAGATGGAGTTGTTAAATAGGGGGCTAAACTTCACAGTGAAGCCAAATAAAGAACCGATTATTGACATAATTGCTGACATCGAATCGGCTATACAGTACAAACCACTTGACGTAAAAAAGAAAATAAGAGATGTTGCATTACCGCTTATCAAAAGTGCACAGCAACAAAAACACACTCATAAAAATGCCTGGCTTAACACACTCAACAAATTGAAGCAACACGACGTTTTTTACATGAAGTCGGACAAAGGAAACAAAGTCGTAATCATGGGAAAACAGCAGTATGAGGAAAGAATGAAAACATCAATAGAAGAAGACAACTTCGTAGTTTCCCGAAAGTCGCCGCTTAATTCTATGCGTAAAGATGCTAAAACCGCTACCGATACTATTTGCCAAGCGTTTGAAGTTAATAAATATCGTTTGTTAGTATCGAACCCCTCCGTTCCTCTGATGTGTGGACTTCCCAAAGTCCATAAACGGGGAAACAAAATGCGGAAAATTGTTTCCAACATAAATTCACCACTTTCCAATATTTCCCGTTGGTTAGTGAACGATTTAAAAAAATATGGTTCATTTGATGGCTTTTCTGTGAAAAACACATTTGATTTTGTGGATAAAATTCGCGACATTGAAATTGAGAATGACGAAATTATGATTTCCTTCGACGTTGAGGCGCTTTTTCCATCGATTCCAATCGACATCGCTATTAAGGCGATCAAAAAGCACCTCTTAAAATTTAATTTTCCTGAGGACCAATTAAATGCATACATCGTAGCGATCAATAGCTGTATGAAACACAATTGCTTCCAATTCCGAGACGTTTATTACAAGAACAACTCCGGCTGTAGCATGGGTAACAGTCTGTCGCCATACGTAGCAGAAGCGTTCATGTGCAATTTTGAATCGGAACTAAAAAGTGAAGGTGTTTTGCCACGAATTTGGCATCGATATGTCGACGATACTTTTGCTATTATAAAAATATCCGACATAGATAAAATACTGGAAACATTAAACAATCGTTATCCGAGTATTAAATTTACCTTTGAAAAAGAAGACGAAACAACACACTCCCTTCCTTTTCTTGATGTACTGATTAAGCGACAAGGAAGGAGAATTGAATTCGGTGTTTATCGGAAACCAACATCAACAGACCGATACATAACAAGCGATTCCTTTTGCACATATCAACAAAAAATTGCTTCGTTTAATTCTATGGTGTTTAGACTTTGCTCTTTGCCACTGTCTGCAGAAAGCTACATGAAAGAATATATGCAAATAAAACACATAGCGGACATAAATGGCTTCAAAACGTCACTCATCGATCAGCTGATAACCAAGCACTCGAATCGAATAAGACGCAACAAAGAAAGCACACTCTTCTCGCAAAACAGCATCGCACAATCGTCTCAATTACATCGCGTTTCCTTACCTTTCGCTCCTGCCATCACCAACACATTAAAACATACCTTAGAAAAATCAAACTTGCAAATCGTACACCCGAACAACAATAAACTGAGATTCGCGCTTGGTTCAACGAAAGACAAATTGCCGATAGAAGATCAAAGTGGAGTATACGAAGTAACTTGTTCGCATTGCGAATGCAAATACATTGGACAAACAAGGAGGGCGCTGCGTGCCCGAATCGAGGAACACTTACGTGCCGTACGGCTGAAAAAGATGGATAATGCTATCGCAGCGCATGCATTTGATTTAAATAATTCTCGCCCACATAACACAATATCTATGGCAGAAAACGTTCGATTACTTAAACACGTAAAAAACCCAGCAAAATTAGATGCCTATGAATCCCTTTTCATCGCTACTAATGATAATTTAATGAATTTAGAACCCGGAGCAATTGAATCTCTTTTATTTAATTGTATAAAAAAGTAAAATATTTGTTTACATGTTTGTTCAGAACCTCCACTTGTCGCTTTGTTTATTTTTGTAATGCCATTTGCGCTTTCACACTTATGTTTGTATGTATGTATAGTTGTAAGCGTCTAATAAGTTTCCATTACACTGTCTACTTTTGTATTTTTTGATTAGTGTTCACTTGACGCTGGCTGATGATGGTTGCTCACTTGCCAACCGAAATGCATCGGTAGAAAATAAACAAAAAAAAATAAATAAAAAAAAAGGTTAAAAAATAAAATTTATAAAAAATTTGAATAATAAGACCACAAGCAGACTCTAAATTTAGTGATTAAATTACTAGAACTGTTTCAAACAATGTTTACCAAACGTGAAAAGAGTCAATTCACTCGTCTTTTGACAAAAATCAAAAAAACGAAAGCGGACATTCTTTCTCAGAAGGATTGTGCAACATAAAGTGATTCCCAGTTTCATCAAAGTAAAATGCAGTGTTCACAATTCTAGAACCGAAAGGGTTATTAGACATGCAGAAAGTCAATGGTTAAAACTCGAAATTCAGCACCATTATAGTTCATTGGACAAAATGGAATTACAGCTCTACAACCTACATCTAAATATGACTAAAGGCATCGACGACATCCAATTTCATGAATTTAACCATTTTCATATTACATCGATTTCGAGATGTGACGCCGTTTTCAACAAAAAGCGAAAGACGCAGAACCAAAAACTAGAAAAATTGTTATCTTCTCGATCAATAACCACACACACACCATCAGTGAAGCCGGTTCCAGGCTTAGTTGTGAACATGTCTAATGAAAGTTTTGATGATGATGAGATGGAGTTGTTAAATAGGGGGCTAAACTTCACAGTGAAGCCAAATAAAGAACCGATTATTGACTTAATTGCTGACATCGAATCGGCTATACAATAC